ACTGTACTCTACTCTACTCTATCCTATTCTATTCCATATTTTCTATTCTATTCTATTCTATTCGATTCAATTCTATTCTATTCTATTCTATTCTATTCTATTCTATTCTATTCTATTCTAAATAAGCTTGGACATGGAGTCACCAGTCGTTTCATGGATGTTATTTCAAAAAGTGAAGCAGGTTCGGACTTTGTTATTACAGTGGGAAACCACTGAGAAATCTCAGGTCTTTTGTTTTTAAATGGTTTTCTTTATTGGTTCATTTAGCTTTTTAAAAGTTTTTAAGCACTTTTTAAAGTTTGCTTTAGCTTTATTCTTCTTACACATGCTTTGCTTATTATAGCATAGTTTTATCGTTCACATACATATCGGTTATTGTTATTAACGTGGATTGCTTTTTAACAAAAAATGAATGTGGATAACATTCAATGAAGAAGAAGAATAAACAGAAACAATTGAAGGACAATAAAGGGAAGAATAAAAAGCCAAATAATATTTAGTAAGAAAAGACCAGTTTGATATGAGAAAGATTTTTTAAAAACTTTGGAAATTGTTAAACGGCGAATTGTAGCAATGTCCATAATAATAATAGATTATTAGATATAACTGCGGTGTCGTACAATATAAGCAGAATAAACTATTTATGACAAAAGACACAATTTTATCCAAGCCTGAACAAGAAAAGAACCATACTGAATAATAAAATAATGAGGAAAGATTACAACTAGAATGTGGTATGGGCAAAAAAGAGATGAATGGATGGCATATGGGAATCTGAGAAGAACACCACATGAGCTTGTGGAAAACACAGCTGATAAGGGATGGTGAACAAATTGACCGAGATAACATCAGCAGAGGAATAGTTCAGGGAAAGACCCTCTCTCACCATTAATATTCATAACATCACTGACTCCGTAATCAATAATTTTGAATAAAAGATGATGTGGATATCTGACATCCAGACAAAAAAAGAGCTCAATTAAGCTTTCTCACCTCTTGTCTACGGATGACCCGAAACTGTCTGGAGCATCACAATTAGAAATTGAATCACTACTTCAGGCAATCAAAATTTATAACAACGACATGACATGGATTTTCAGCTAGGTAAGCATGGATTTCTGGACAGAAGAAATAACCTTGAACAGGAGGAAGAGCTGCAAAAGCAAGAAAATGGTCACGTAAAAGAAATTTGAGTCCTGGGGCAGAAACATAATTTGAAAAAGTAACTCAAACTTGACCCTGTCTAGTTCTCTTGAATGTAAAAGCAGAGAGGGTTAGAGGCACATTCAGAATCGTATGATTCTGTTGCTGTAAACTAATCATAAAAATAATACTAGTATTTAATATTAGGCTTTGGTGTTCTCTGTAAATCTCTTAGAGGGGTCAGTAAAGCACTGTGAAGTGATATATAAATCTAAGTCAGGGGTGACAAACTCGTGACCTGCGGGCCGAATGCATCATGCCCTGACCACACCCACCCCTGGTTTAGCAAAGGGGAGAAAAAGTTGTGATGTCAGGTTTCCAATGGATGCCCTAATTAAATCATGAGTCTCGAGCCAAGCTTCAAAAGAAATCCAGTTATTTATTAGGAGCTCCATGTCGACACAATCCCAAATGAAGCCAACTCTGACCCCACGTAATTTACGGCCCTAATCATGACCCTGTTTCCTTCCCCCCCCCGACCGGGTGTGTCATCAATCACATTCTCCAGTGGAGCAATTTTGCGGGTTGTAGAGACCACTCCCCTCTGGGCGCTGTAGATAACCCTGGGATACAGCCTTGAGAAAGATATGTCTGGAATGCACTCCTGTCTTTGGCTGTCTTGCTGCTTCGTTGGTTTCCCATCCCCCTTTCCCTATGGCAACTTGAGAGCAGGCCAGAGATGCTTTGCGAGTTGACATGTGATACGTCACGTGATGACATGTCGTCGCGAGCTTGACACCCCTGGTCTAAGTAAATAAGTGCTATTGTTATCTTCAGCTCTTTCATTTCCTCAAAATCTTTCAATTCAACTTATCAATCCACCATTAACTTCTGTGTTTTTGCAACCATTAGTGCGTCTCCCATGCTTAGTAGCACAGCACTATCATTCTGAGGGACAACCAGCTTAATTCTTCTCCTATAATAGTTTTCAGATTAAATTGATATCCTGGTTGTCCCATGGCTGAAACATACCTAAAGCTCTTGAGGGAATGGATTTTCATGATGAAAAAGTCACAGTGATAAGATTGAAAGATGGATAACTCCAACTTGTGTAATGTAGGCTCAACATCAGTTATTAAGCAATGTGCACAATAACACCACAAATCCCTTCACACTTGCTTTCTTGCCCGGCTATTCCTCTTTGCAGTAGCTATTAATTGCTTAAGAAATCTCTCTCCTTCGAATCTAAATCACAGATCTTTTCCTTAATAAGACTATACTTCTCATCACTCTGGAATAAGTTGCATCAGGAATGAAAAAAATCCTCCTTGGTTTGAACTGAACTTCTGGATACTACAGAGAAATATTTTGTTGGGATTTTATTTTTATTTTTTTGGTGGTGGTTGTGGTAGGAGTTTTCTCAACTTTGCATTATAGTCTATAGCAGTGATGGTGAACCTTTTAGGCACAGAGTGCCCAAACCTGAAGGAGTGCGCATGTGCTCACCAGAGTGCCAGAAACCCAACCAGCTGGCTGGCGCACATACGTGCCTTGGAAACCAGACGACCAGCTGGCTGAGCTGGGGTGACGGCGCACGTGCTCATAGAGAGGGCTTTGCGTGCCACCTCTGGCATGTGTGCCATAGGTCAGCTATCACGGGTTTATAGGTTGTGAATTTCCTGGTGTTCTCTCTAACTGGGTCTAATCCCGGTTAGCTATTTTCTGTGAAAGTTAGTTAGAAACAGCCAATTGTTATGACGGTATTAAGAGTAAGGATGATGTTTAGGAAAAGACCCTGCCTCTGGAGGAAAGAGGGATATTCGAAGATAACTTGACGTGATTTTCCTCAACACAATGAATGTTTTGTGAGGAGATAGAATTAGGAGTTATGTATGTATAAGGTTATCTGCAAGAGGGATCTAAAGGCCCTGGGAATGGACATTAACAATTGGGAAATCTTGACCTCCGATTGTTCAGCTTGGAGGCGAAAGACGCAACATAGCCTTCTCCAATTCGAAGAGACACTTGTTCGGCAGGCCGAGGCAAAGAGGCAGTCCCGGAACCAGCGAAATTTGGGGGCTGGGCAGGGGACAGAATGTATCTGCCCTCAGCGTGGAAAGGATTGCCACTCTCGAATTGGCCTTTTTAGTCACACTAGATGCTGTTTTAGGACCTCTTTCCAGAGCACGATACCATAGTCTCTTGAGACTGAAGGATGCCAATGACTGTATATTGTACTGTTGTGTAAAATTATGTATAACCTTAGCAAGTTGTATTGATCCATGCTGGTTGAGAAATTCTGGGAGTTGATGTCCAACCTCCAGGTTGCCAAGGTTTAAGAAGTACAGGTGTAGAACAACACGTAAATATGACCTACCTTTTAGCATTCCCATTCCTGAAATATTTAAGAAAGTTCCCTTATGTTGAAATTACACAATGAAAGCTGAGAGTATATAAAAATGGAGACTGAAGGCTGCTTTGGTCACAGTTTTTCCATCTCCACCCTCTCAGCACTATCCTTACACCCAACTTTAATAATAATAATAATTTTAGATTTTTTTAATCCTGCCTTTATTATTTTTATAAATAACTCAAGGCGCCAAGCATACCTCCCACCTCCTCCTATTTTTCCTACAAGAGCTCTATGAAGTGAGCTGGACAGAGAGTGAGTACTGTCCCAATGCTGCAATTTTTGTCAAACAAATAAGTAAATAGCATAGGTTGAGCAGAAAAGAAACATAAAATATATATTTGTAGCAGGCAAACAAGTCATTAACAAAAAGTTTCAAAATAAGTGTTCAGTTATTTAATTCAATGATTGCGATTCTGTTCGTCTTCCTTTTCCAATAATTTTATACAATGTGAGGTTTGAGCGTTCCGCCTTCTACGTGAACATCTTCTGGAAATATGTTTTCCCGAGGACAGAAATTGGAGAACCTAGAACCACCAAAGGTTTCTAAATACCAAAGATATGAAATTGGGGAGGTAAATGCCATCACACACATTATGGAGTCAAAGTCAAGTCTTGATTTGGCTTGACATGATGAAGTCATGGAACAAGTGACTCAATTGCTTTCATTTGCAAATTACACTATTCTATACAGGCGGATGTCACGTTCTACAAGACATCACCATGGCTTCTACTCAGCACCTTTGTTGAAAGTCTGACAACTTAAATCAGCCTCTGGGCTTCACAGAGAAGAGGGATATTAAAAAAGGAACTCTGGGAAGTGTATAGATATTGCCCATTAGGAATAGGCCTAATGAGTCATGTTAATTTTAGCTATGTCTGGTAGAATCCATGAGAATGTCGTTGCCCAAAATATTCCTCAAAAATAGGTAATTCATGTCATATTTGCAGTGGAGTGCCTCCCCTACAGACACCCATAATTAAGTATGGTCTTGCTCTACTTTTGTAGGCTATTAGGAACTTGGTTAGGCCCAGTTTTATGCAGAATTCTTTCATATCTTATATGTCAGCCAACCAAGCTTTGTCACCCTAGTACAGTGATGGCTAACCTTTTTGCCATGGCATGCCAGGAGCGGAGGGGAAAGGGGATGAGTCACACGCGTGCCGACACCCATAATTCAATGCACCCCACCCCCGCGCATGTTAGCCCCTGCTCCCCCACCTGCTCTTGGCATGTGATGGCCCGGTGCACCCGGTAGGCCTGTTTTTCTCTCTTCCCAGGCTCCAGAGCCTTTCTAGGAGCTTGGGGAGGGTGAAAACAGCTTTCCCCACCCCCCAGGAGGCCCTCCGGAGGCCGGAAATGGCCCGTTTGCCAACTTCCGATGGGACCGGAAGGCCCATTTTTTTCCACTCCCCGGAGCCTTTCTCCCCACCCACCCCCCCACGCCTGAGGCCCTCCGGAGGCAGGAAACACCCTGTTTCCCTACTTCCAGTGGGCCCAGAAGGCCCAAAAATCAGCTAGCCAGTGTGGGCATGCTAAGCGTGCCACCTGTGGCACTCGTGCCATAGGTTCACCATCACGGGCCTAGTACATTTGAAACAAGGATAATACTGACAATAGGTATCTTAAAAATAATTTGCTGGATCCAGGGTTATCGTTGCAGAGAAAGGATTCACAATGCATCCAAAATACGATGCGTTGGAAGTGAATGCACGTAGAATCTGAAGAACCGTGTAGGAGAAATTGCAGATGTTCTGTTTTATTCGATGCCGCTTTCCTTCTTTACCAGTTTATTCCTTGACTGGGGGAGGGGAGCCTGTAGAATCCCCTTTGATTTCCAAGCAAATTCTGCTCTTCATCCATATCTACAATCATTTTCAATCCAGAAGAAAGGAACCTGTCTACTTCTTATTAGAAAGTACAGCTGCTACAATGAGTGCAATTAGAAGGACAGCTCCACCCACGGAGACCAAAATAGTAATTACGATCATGCCTCCAGACCGTTCAAACATTGTATCGGCTGATTCATAGTTGGTCACTGGAACACAAAGAAATGCAGAGTTAAGAGACAAACATTCCAAGAAGTATCAAAGAGCCCTGGTAGCGCAGCAGACTAAAAGCACTGTTATTAACATCAGCTGCCTGCAATTACTGCAAGTTCAAATCTCACCAGATTCAAGGTTGACTCAGCCTTCCATCCTTTCTAAGGTAGGTAAAATGAGGACTCATATTGTGGGGGCAATAAGCTGACTTATTGACTAAAATACACAAAAGTATGAAGGCTATTGCTTAACGCATTGTAAGCCGCCCTGAGTCTCTGGAAAAGGGCGGCATATAAATCAAATCAACAAAACAAAACAAAACAAAACAAACTCTGGTTTAGATCCCTTGTTATGTCTGTAAAATTACATTCAGGTCTAAAAATCAACATCATAGCCTAGAAATGTTCACAACTTCCTCTATGAAAACCAAGAATTTGGCTGAGCTCTCCAGGCAAGATTGAGGAATGAGTTGACATCAGCAAACAAATATTTTCACGCATTTTCATGCATGAAAAGAGATCCAGATTTCAAGTGCCACATTACACGTTCCACATTTCCTTCAACAAAGGTTGTTTTTCCTACTGCCAAGAGTCGGGCAGCAGAAGAGCCCACTTGTAAAACTGATGTTTAGAATCAGTTAAGTTCCAATGTGGGGATAGGCCTCCATTTAAAGCTATTGTTGGATCTCTTTTCCCACCCATGAAGTGGGACCGTTCATCTTCTTCATCTCCTTCCATCTGCATCAAGTCAAAGTTTAACAGCTTTGTAAGACCAGGAGGCACCAGTATTTCCAGTATGCAGAATACAGAAGAACAGAGTTGGAAGGGAGTTGGAGGACTTCTGGGGGGGTTGGATTAGAAAAGGGTTCCCAACAAGGGATGAAATCCAGCAGGTTCTGGAGAACCGGTAGTGGAAATTTTGAGCAGTTCAGATAACCAGTAGTGGAAATTTTGAGTAGTTCGGAGAACCAGCAAATACCACTTCTGGCTGGCCCCAGAGTTGGGTAGGAATGTGGAGTTTGCAGTATCCTTCCCCTGGAGTGGGGTGGGAATGGAGATTTCCATTCTCCTGCGTGAGCTGCACTGGCTCCCGGTGGTCTTCCGGGTGCGCTTCAAGGTTTTGGTTATCACCTTTAGAGCGGTCCATGGCTTAGGGCCTGGTTATTTACGGGACCGCCTGCTGCCGCAAACAGCCTCCCACCGGCCGGTACGCTCTCACAGAGAGGGACTCCTCCAGGTGCCGTTGGCCAAACAATGTCGGCTGGCGGGCGAGAAGGGGGAGAGCCTTCTCTGTGGGGGCACCTACTATCTGGAACGAGCTCCCCCAGAGATACAGAGGATCCCGGATCTACTCACCTTCCGCCGCGCTCTCAAGACCTTTTTATTTCACCAGGCTGGTCTGGCCTAACCTCTCCCATTCTCTTTTTAATGTAAATTTTAATTTGTTCTTAACATGGGGTTTTAAATTTGTCTTGGACTAAATTGATTTAATCCGATTTTACTTCTGCTCTTAAATTTTGGTATTCTATGTGTTTTATCTTGTGCCTGTTCACCGCCCTGAGTCCTTCGGGAGTAGGGCGGTATATAAATCAAATAAAATGAAATGAAAAAATGAAAATTTTGTAGTATCCTTCCTCTGCCACGCCCACCAAGCCACACCCTCAGAACCAGTAGTAAAAAAATTTGGATTTCACCACTGTCCCCAACCTCCGGGCCGC